CGGTGACCCTCACCCCATGGGGGTGTGGCTGGCCTGCAAACCACCACAGGCCCCTCACCCAGGCTGCCCCACACCCCAAGGGAACCCCCACCCTGGTCCAGGACACCCTTCAGGGCAAACCAGCCGGCCCCCACCTGTGCACCAGGCCTCTATCTATACTAATAAAAGGGTAAGGTGTTAATTACACTGGGAGACCTTCCAGGAGACCTTCCGGATGTTCTTCTGGACAAAGCCATGGTGGCGGGGCTGAGGTAGAGGCAGTTAGAGGCCAACAGGGGAGGGCAGTTGTGGGTGATCAGGCTGGTGGGGGGCAGGGCTGTTGGGGGTAAGCAGACCAGCAGGGAGGCCAGTTGGGGGCAAGCAGGCCATCAGTGGGGGTCAGTTGGAGGTGATCAGGACAGTGGGGGGCCAGTTTGGAGTGAGCAGGTCAGCAGGGGGGCAGTTGGGCACAAGCAGGCCAGCAGGGGGGGGCAATTGGGGGTGATCAGGCTGGCGGAGGTGGAATCTGGGGGCAAGCAGGCCAGCAGTCGGGGGCAGTTGGGGGCGAGCAGGCCAGCCGGGGGGGTCAGTTGGTGCCAAGTAGGCTGGTGGGAGGGGCAGTTGGGGGTGAGCAGGCCGGCAGGCAGAGTGGTTAGGGGCGATTAGGCAGGAAGGCAGGTGAGTGGTTAGGAGCCAGCAGTCCCGGATTGTGATCCATGGGATCGGGCCTAAACCGGCAGTCGGACATCCCCTGAGGAACACCCCCTCCCCCATGCACGAATTTCATGCACGTGTCCACTAGTAATTTATAATAACTAAGATCTGGAAATAGCCCAAGTACCTATCAGTAGATGAATGGATAAAAAAAAACTGTGGTTCATATACACAATGGAATACTATGCAGCTGTAAAAAAGAAGGGTCTCTTACCTTTTGAGACAGCATGGGGAGTATTATGCTAAGAGAAATAAGCCAGACAGAGAAAGATAAGCATCACATGATCTCACTCATATGTGGAATCTAATGAACAAAATAAACTGACAAACAAAATAGAACCAGAGACAATGAAGATGCAACAGACTGACATGTTTTAGAGGGAAGTAGGGATGGGAAGAGATTAACCAAAGGACTTACATGCATATATGCATAGCCCATGGACACAGACAATAGTGCAGTGAAGGCCTGGAGAAGGGGTGGAAGCGGGGTAGAGGGGGTCAACGGAGGGAAACAAGGCGACATCTGTAAAGCTTTCAACAATAAATATTAAATAAATCAGTTGGGGTGGGGGGAGAACACAGATGGAAAGGAGGACATGTGACTAAACATGAAGGTTTATGTGGTCCAGATTGAGCTGAAGCTTGCAATGAAACAGGACAACCAAGAGGGCTGTTCCATGTATTTGGAAAAAGAACAAAACAGTGTCTGGTGCTGGAGGCCAATGGCATAACATTAGGATGGAAAGAAAGAAATGGGAGGGACTTGAGTCTTGTTTTGTTTCCATTTTTTCTTTTGAACTTGAAAAAGTAGGACAGATGGTGATAGGAGGGACATGAACCCCAAGTTGGGTGATTCATCTTCTGACCTTGGCAAGGTCTCCTGGAGTACTGAGGTTATAGTTGGTGACCTACAGGGTGTGTTAGAGACAGCAGAGGGCCTGGGCCTAAAGATGACTAATATCCATTTAGCAAAAAGACAAAGGAGGCGGGCTCCACAGATATCTATAGACAAGGCTTGTAAGCACTTAGGAAATGGTTTGTCACTGGGCTTGATTGGGCTTATTGGGAATAAGGCATACCCATTTTAGTTTTTTTGAATATCAGACAGTATTTTGGATTTTAGGTAAGGTTTTGATGTAACCTTAGGACATCCCCTGACCACCTGGTGATGCATGTTTATAACCACTTAAAGATTCTACTTGGGAAGGATTCTTCCCCACCCTCAACCCTAGACTTATGGAAGGGCTCTGCTCTTGTCTTTGTTCTGTTCATGATTTGAATTCGTGTTTCAGGGCTCTGCTGATGGTGGTGCTGGCGGAGAATAGGCCAAGAAGGACAGGCCAAGAGCTCCATAGACTGAAACAGGGGACCAACTCTGGAAAGGTGGATTTTACCAGGGAAAAGTGAGAAACTGCATTTGGGACTAGAAGAGTTAACTGTGCAGATGCAGTTTAGGGCTTGTGGCTCAGTAGCAACATGGGTGAGAAGAACTCTTAATTTTTTTTTGCGGATTGCAAGCTCCATATACATCAGCAGGAGGATGTAGCTTTTAGAAGAGTTAGTGTGGGTATAGGCATTGACAGACACTCAGTGGGTTCTAGGGATGTGATACTCCAGGTTCCCTGAGCCTAACGCTGGGACACCTCAAACTCCTACAGGCAGAAGAGATGACTCCCACCTCTGAGTTCTTCAGTTCTGGAAAATTTCATTTCTTTTGTAATTTTCTCCCCTCTATTTTTCTGTTCTTCTTTTCTGGAACTCATTATATGTCAGATTTTGGAATTCTAGAGTTGATCTGATTTTTTCACCTTTCCCCCCTGCTATTATCCATTTCTTTATCTTTCTATTTTCTGAATGATTTCTTCTAAACTTATATTGAGTTTTTAAATTTCATTATTTATAATTTTCATTTCCAAGAGTTCTTTTTCCCCTCTGAATGTTCATTTAAAAAAATGGCATCTGATCTCATCTAATCTGATCTGCTTTGAATCTGCTAATACTTCTTTCCAATTCCATATTCCAAAAGTGTGTTTACATACATTAACTGTTGTTTTTTTTTTGGTCCTCTTCTCTTTGTTCTTGGTGGTTCATACTATTTACAAAATCCCTTTACTCTTATTTCAGGGGCTTTGGGAGGGAGCAGAGTTTAATCCATCTTATTTAACTGAAAGTTTATTCTTTAACATATTCTTGTATTTGTTTGTTTTTTTAATCCTCACACAGGTGTGAGGATATTTTTGCCATTTATTTTTAAAGAAAGAGTGAAGGGGGGGCGGGAGAGAGAGGAACATCGATGTGTCACAGTGATTGGTTGCCTCCTACATGCGCCCTGACGGGGAACAGGAATCAGACCTGTAACACAGGTATGTGCCCTTGACTGGAATCAAACTTGCCAACCTCTGATGTATAGGCCAACACTCTAACCACTGAGAAATACCAGCCAGGGCTATCCTTTTGTTTTAAATGTGCCTTTTTAGGCACATTTTGATGTGATTGATGGATTTTAAAACATCTAATATGAGGGTCTGAATTTTGATCAGGGAATTTAACCCATTATATATTTACTATAATTATGATTATATTAGGACTTCTGCCATCTTAATTTCATGCTTTATACTTCTCATGTTTTCTCTCTGCTTCTTTTTTGCCTTTCCTATTTTTTTTGTGTGTAGATTGAATTTTCTCTGCTCATCTGAAATTTATATATAATTTTCCTCTGTGTACCCTAACTTACTATGCCCCATATGTTCCCCTGTCACTGTCTGTGTTTTAAAAGTCTCAACACCGTCCTGTCTCCTCCTGCTCTCCCCACCTGTGCTGGTTCCTCAGCAACTCAGTGGAGTAATGGCAGCCCCATCCAATTGCCATCTTGTTCGGAACTGGACAAGGCTTGTTCAGGGCTGTCCTAGAGGGGACTCCAGTGCTCAGTGGGGGTTTGATTTAAATGACTTTTTAAAAGGTCCCTGAGGTTTCGAGCAAGTTCTGAGTATCGTAGGTTCTTACAGGGGAGTGAGAGAGAATGGACAAATCCAAGAGCTCTCCAGTAGAGCTGGGAACACCAGAGCTTCTGAAGTTCTGTTGTAGACTGCCTCTCTGAGACTTCTGTTCTCTGCTTTTCTCTTAAGTGCTGTGTAGAATACTGTCCCATGACAAGCAGGAAAGAAATGAGAGGGGGCCTTGGGGAGACGGTAGGGAGGGCTGGGGACTAGGTTGAATGGGCATAGGCACACCTCATCCAAAGAGACAGCCATCACTCAATCCCACTAAGTCGTTATCAGTAGGAATATGGGTCCAGCATTGCCAGAGCTTCTGATTTTCAAGAGAAGCCAGGAAAATAAGTTTTCTATGTGAAATCTTTTGATTTGTATATACTGGCTCAAAAATGTTTATAACCCCATGCAAGCCAAACAACATGTCTGCAGACTGGATCTGGCCCAGACACTATCACCCATGACCCCTCCTCTGGTTAGTCAATGATTCTGTCCTTGTCACACTTGACATTTCTCCCTTCTGGATAAATGTCCCCCAAACGTGTTATTTCCTACATCCTTCTCACAGCCACCTCTTCTGGGCCCCTTTACCTTGAGTGCCGTTCACATTACCATGTGCTCTTTCTCAAGGCCATCATTCTGTTAAGCACCTTAACCACCCCCCTTGTTTGCATTGTTAACTTATCTAGTAAATGAGTAGTATGAAGGTAAACTTTGTTCTTGCCCCATGCGTGTAGGCACGTGATGTGGGTTTGGTTTTCCTGGAGCCTTTCTGCAGCTGGAGCCCATGAGTCCTGGTTCTTAGAAGTACGAGAAGAAACTGCCTACTCTCTCGCTGGGGCATGGACACAAACACCCTGTGCCAGGCCTCAGCTCCCAGTGCCTTCACCTGCAGAGGGCAGGGTTTCAATGTGGTCCAGAGCTCAGGACCTGTGAGCCTCCTTGGGATGGCCCCTCCTGCCAGCCATGGCCTCTGGGGTGCTCTTGCCCTGAGTTTCTTTCCCATCTGGCTCTGCTCTTGCCTCATTCTGCCGGAGCGGCAGGAGCCTGTGGCAGCTGCAGCTTTATATACATTGCACAGTTGATGACTGATTCCACAGTAGCTCCTTGATAGGGAAGTGAAACAGCCACACCTGGTGGGGCCTGAACTTTTGGTGACAGTAGAAGTAGTTATGGAAACTGCCAAGGAGGGAGAAGTCCTCTCTGTAGCTAGGCTATGAAGAAAGCTCTTGCCTGGCCTGGTCCCACATAGCCTCCAGGAGTGGCTCTGATAACATGTATCACCCCCCACCCCCACCTGTTTTTTCTTGGTGACAGCTGGAAGTAGCAGTGGTCACAACTGAAAGAGCCAAACATTTCTACAGCCCCCAGGACATTCCTGTCACCCTCTACAGCGATGCGGATGAATGGGAGGTCAGTGCTGGGGGTCCCCAGGGCTGTGTTCCATCATGTGTCTATCAACAGGACAGGACTGTACTCCTGCAGCCCATAGTCCTGGTGGTCAGAGCAGACAGACCAGGCTCACGTCAGCAGTTAGGGCCCTCAAGGCAGAGGTGATGAGGAAAACAACTGCCTAGCTTCTGGCCTGTGGGAGGCCTATAGTCTCCCCCCACCCCAGGCAGAGCTCAGCTTTGGCCCTGAGCCTGAAGTTGAATGCCCTTGGGCTTATCTGGGCTGATACAACCACAGAAGAGCTCTGTTTCCCTCACCATGTCCCCGTGGCTCCCAATGTCAGGGCTGTCCAGAGTGCCTCACTTCCCACAGCCTACATCTGCTCTCTCTCAGAAGGGTGGGCACTGGCTGATTCACCAGACATTGAGTGTGGGCCTCAAAGGGGTGCCCTGCCAGGCATTTTTAAACATTCTCTGCCTAGAACATTTCTGATTGGTCCGTCTTCCCCAATTCTCCCCCTCCCCCATTTCTCACTGCCCCAGACATTTCTCAGTGTCCACTCGCTTAGACAACCCAAGCATCCGCCTCAAGCAGACAGGGCAGGAGTTCCCTGCCAGATGTCAGTTCTCTTGAAAACCGAACCATAAAGGGAATAGCTTGGAAAGGGGCGTTTGTTTTCTCAGGCCTGGTTTCTCTCAGGCTATTGACTCTGCAGCCAATGCTCTCACCGGCTTAGCTGTGAGAGGGAGTGGCAGTGGATTTGGGCAGGGTTGCTCATCAGGTGGTCTTCCTCCGGTTCCTGACTTAGTGTCCTTGGCCTCTGTTTCCTACCCCCAGGTCTCCCCGCCCCCCCCTCCCCCCCCCACACACACACCTCCTTCCCTCCACCAACAGAGTGGTCTGCCCAGTGACGCCATTTCTTTCTCCTTGCCAGATGTGGAAGTGCCGGTCCGACCCAGTTCTCCACATTGACCTTCGGAGGTGGGCAGACCTTATGCTGGTGGCTCCTCTCGATGCCAACACTCTGGGGAAGGTGGCCAGTGGCATCTGTGACAACTTGCTTGTGAGTGAATCCCTGTGCCCTCCTCCCTCCTTGAACCTCTCTCCCAGTTTGCTGAGCTATAGACTACCTTTGTATAAGGTTCTCACCTTGGAATCCTTTTATCATGGTCCTGTTTGCTCAGAACGCTGTCCCTCTGCCCCCTACCCATCTCACCTATGCTCTGGCAAGTTGGCAGAAGGTGTGGTGGATGGATGGACTTGACTTGTGGGTGCTTTCTAAGGCTGTCCACCACTCACCTGCCCTTTGATGCTCAGCTCTTCTCCCTTTGTCCTTCATTCATGGGCTGCCATTCTGTCAGTCTCCTGGCCTGGTTCCATTGCTTGCCTTCTCACTGGGATCTGGATATCCACATGGGCAACTAATAAGAGTGTTTACTTCTTCATGGATGTTTCACACACATTTATCTCTTCTGTATTTAGTCACAGGTGGAGGTGCAGTTTTCCTATGTATCATGGAAAGCTGAGAGAGGAAAATAGGAGAAAGACAGGGCAAGAGTGTGAGCTTATGGATGATGGAGGAAAGGAGCACAAGTTCAGCTGTGCAAAGTGGGATTGATAGATCTTCAGGGAGCTATTGTCCTTAAAGAAACTTTGTGTACTTGATCATCCTGGGAGGAGTTAGGCATGATCTCTCTCCTCCCTCTGCCTTATTACCCTCCCTTTACTCATTTATTGAGCTTTTACCTACCATGAACTGGACCCATGCTGAGAGACACACAGGACACAGGGAACTCACAGTCTGGAAGGAGAGGGTTTTTGTTCACCCATTCAGGTGAGAAGGGAGTATGCTCTGGTGTGTGGCCCAATCTTCAATGTTTCCAGTCAGTCCTTTGACAATAGAGTCACCACCTTGCACAGTAGTAGGCATATACTTACTATATGTATGAGATAATTCGTAATTTTACTGTGGCAAACAGCCAGGAGTTTTTCAGAGTTTAATATGGCGAAGAAGTGAATAACGAAGCTGGGTCAATATTTTGGGGGGTCAGATAGGTCAGTCTCCTCCTATGCTTGTTGTTGGCACTTAAGGCACTTTGGAAGAATCTACTAGTGATTTAAGCATCATTTGAATAAGAACACAAGGTGACCAGAAGAAGGGCAGCACACAGAGTGTGTGGCCAGGAGCCGGTAAGGGAGTGCAGAAGGCTTCCCAGTGGGGTTGGTGCCAGGGCTGACAGGGCAGCTGGAGCCTGTGAGCCTCCTGCCACTTTCATTTAAGTGGGTCAGAGTTGTATGTGACCAGCACTGTGTTACCAAACCTCTAGGCTTCCCACTGCTAGTCAGCAGCTGGCTGATGTGGCGAAGCACAGCAAGCTCTAGGAATTAAGCCCCAGCCTAGGCTGCTCTCCGAGGGCTCCCTCCTTCCTCCTGAAAGTTCTGCTTTCCTGTTTTTCCTTGAAGCTGCCATTGCTCCTTGAAATCTTTGGAGTTCCCTCCTGAGTTGGCTGAACAGTAGAATAAGTTCCCAAGACCAGCCCCCAGATCATTTTCCTCAAAAGGTTTCACTTGAAGGCAAATTTAATATATATTTTATTATTGATTTCAGAGAATAAGGGAGAGGGAGAGAGAGCAACATCAATGATGAGAGAGAAGCATCAATCGGCTGCCTCCTGCTTTGCCCCACAATGGGGATCGAGCCCGAAACCCGGGCACGTGTCCTGACCCTAATTGAACTGTGACTTCTGGTTCATAGGTCAATGCTCAACCACTGAGCCACACTGGCTGGGCGAAGGCAAATATTTTAAGAAATTGCAAATCTTACAATGTTTTAACTGTCACCATTCTTGCTCTGTGGCTCTGTCCTCTCTCAAAAGATGTTTTATCCTTATATCCTTTATCCTTTATCCTGGAAAAGAAGCTTACCCTGCTACTTCTCTCCTTCAGTTCTCCTTCCTTCCTTTCTAGTGCCCAGAACTTGTGGTGCTATTAGAGCAGTGTGCTGAGTGTGAATCTGTGTACTGGCCTCCGGGCCTTTTGTCATCTGACCTGCCCTCTGGCCTACTCAGTCCTTGGCCCCTTCTTTGTGGTAAACAGCCAAGCAGATCCAGAAGGAGAAGGAGACTTCCTTGGGTCACCAGTCCAGCTGGGAGCTGGTCCCCTGATTGGGATCCAGGCCTTCTCTTCGCCCAAGCAGATTCCCAGGGGCAGAACCTGAGTTGCTGAATACAGTGTTGGCCAAACAGAAGTGATGATGGGAACTAATGCCTCCTTTCATGCCTCTTGCTGCCAGAAGGTTTGGAGGAGCTCTGGTTTGTCCAGGAAGTCCTGAGCTTAGAGATGAGGTGGGCAGAGCAAGAAAGTGTGGGACATGGAGGGGTTCGGTTTCTGCTCTGGTCAGTGTGTTTTATTTTGAGGACACGTAGAAACCCCAGCCCAGCCCTCACCCCACCCCACATGCAGTCAGGGGGCTCTTCTAGGTATACTCATGACTTTTGCAGAAGCAGCAGGTGTCATGGGGCCAAGAGGAAGTGCGACTGAAACTGTCCACTCATAGCTTGGTTGCTGAACTCTGAGAGACATTGGTGGGAAACAAATGCTGGTGTCTGGGACGATGCAAACAGCCAGATCCAGAGGCTGTGTGCTGTCCTACTTCCTTCCTGTCCCCAGGAGAGGGCAGGGGCACGGAGAAGGGTGGCATTGGTCCTGGCCTCTTCATTTCATTGTTCTCTGAACTCCCCTCTCTTTTCCTAGAGGGGCATGAGACAGCTCCCTGCAGATAGCAGCCCTCAGTCATCCTAACCTCAGTCATCCTAACCTCATGGCTGCTTGTGACCCAGAGGATGGTGTGTAGGATTTGGAAGGGTTGGGGAGGATGGCAGCTGGAACAGCAGGCACCCCTCCCCCATCCTTTTTCACAGACCTGTGTCATCCGGGCCTGGGACCGCGGAAAGCCCCTGCTCTTCTGCCCAGCAATGAACACTGCCATGTGGGAGCATCCCCTTACCTCGCAGCAGGTGGGCCAGCTCCAGGCCTTTGGCTATATCGAGATCCCCTGTGTGGCCAAGAAGCTGGTGTGTGGAGACCAAGGTGGGCATCTGGCCAGGCTTACAGCCTGTCCTCATGGCCCATGGTCAGATCTGGATTAAGATCCCAGCCTGTTGTGACCTCAGGCAAAACCATTCTCCTCCGAGCCCAGCTTTCTCATCTGGAAGATGGAAATCATAATTCCTTCCCCCTCAGAGTTGTTAGGATTAAATGAGATAGTTCATGTAAGGTTCCTGGTATCCCTGGCACACAGCCCGTGCATAGTTCATGACAGCTACTGTAACTGTTTCCGGGGCCTGTCCTGGTGGGTTTCAGAAGGATGTGAGGGTCTGGCTCAGGCAGAAGGTCCTGTCCTTCTCAGGCACTGGGGTCTGGGTGGAGCCCTTGGGGGAGTACAGGGTGGGATGGGAGTGGGGGGTGGTACCCTGCCTCAGTCTGCAGGGCCACAGCAGAACTTTGTTCCCTAGGTTTGGGGGCCATGGCTGAGGTGGACACCATTGTGGACAAAGTGAAGGAAGTTCTCTCCCAGCATGCTGGCTTTCAGCAGGGTTGAACCCAGGATCTCTCATGTGCGTCCCTCTGTACCCAGTGTGTTTTCAGGCCATGTCAGTGAAGGTGGACATTGGCAAAGTATGGCGGGAATTCACCTTTGCTGAGTAGGGGTCTAGCCTGGGTCTGCTCCACACTCTCCAAGGGCCCGACCTGCCCCAAGGTAAATTGGCCCAGGTCTCAACTTCTTTCAGCCAGGAGACTCCTTGCTATCTGGAGTTCCTCCCCTCCTTTTCCTGGGATGGTTCCAGCAAGCCAGAGGGGCAAGCTGCTGCATTGTCCCTGTGCCTCTAGGAGGGGACTGAGGAGTGACTGGCCAACCTGATTCCCCATTGTGCCCAGGAACCACTTTTAGAAATGGTCTCAGCTGGAGATTCCCAGTGTGGTGGGCCCCTGGCTAGGCCTTTGGAACTTCAGCTGCCCTGCAGGGTCAGGAAAGCCTACACGTTGGAAAGACCCTGATCATGCTGTAAGATTGGGGGTATGGGAAATAAAGAAAAGTGACCTTTTGAGAGACTCCTTCCTTCTTTCACAGCCCATCTGTGGTCTCAGAGATCGGGGTGTTGCTAGGTATGGGTGAGGAAGGATCTGGTGCTTGTTAGGCCCCATGGCATACAGTGGTTAAGGGCAAAGGGCTCTGAAGCAAGACAGCCCTAGTTTAAATCCCAGCTCTACACCTGCTAGCAGTGGGACCTTGGCTCAGGGCTCAGCCTTTCTGACCCTCACTTTCCTCATCTGTATTACTCTACCCTCCCAGAGTTATTAAGAGAATCAAATGAGATAATTTGTGTAGAATAACCACCCCCCTGAGTGCCTCCTACATAGTAAATGTAAAATAAATGGAAGTTTATTCCTAACATTACTGAAATAGACTGTTTCATTTTGGGAAAAATAAAATCCCGACCCTAAGCAGATGTAGCCCTTTATGCAAGTGACAGGCACACAGCCAGCAGGGTTGGAACCTGCCCTGAAACTCAGTCCCCTTGCTTCCTGGTGTCCTCAGTTGTTCTTGTGTGTCTTTTCCTTAATCCTCACTGAGAACATGTTTACAGATTTTAGGGGGGGGGGGGCGGGGAGGAAGAAGAGAAAGAGAGAGAGAGAGAGAAGCATTGATGTGAGAGAAACATCGATTGGTTGCCTCTCGTACTCACCCCAACTGGGGACCAAACCCACAACCCAGGCATGTGCCTTGACTGAGAATTGAACCTACGACCTTTTTTTTTTTTTTTTAAATATATTTTATTGATTTTTTTACAGAGAGGAAGGGAGAGAGATAGAGAGTTAGAAACATTGATGAGAGAGAAACATCGATCAGCCGCCTCCTGCACATCTCCTACTGGGGATGTGCCCGCAACCCAGGTACATGCCCTTGACCGGAATCGAACCTGGGACCTTTCAGTCCGCAGGCCGACGCTCTATCCACTGAGCCAAACCGGTTTCGGCAAACCTACGACCTTTTGATATATGGAATGACAATCCAACCAATTGAGCCACACCAGCCAGGGCCTGTGTCCTCAATTTTGCTGCACCTCAGATGGGGGCCTGAGTGTGCCCCACCCACCCAGTGCCCAACAACACACATGGATGAGGAAGCAGGCTCCAGACACAATGCTCAGCCCTAGAAACTCTCTCCTGCCTTTGACCTAATTGCTGTTTGGTGGCTGCACCGAGGAGGTGCTTGTTTTCCTATTTGGAGCTGAGATTAGGGCTGGCTTCCTGCTCTCTTGTCTTCCAGGCCAGGGGTGAATGGGACCCCATGCATGCCCTCAGACCACTGAGAGTAGAGGTGCCTTCAAGGGGTACCAGGAAGCCTGGCTGGAACCAAGGCCTCCCAAAGCCTCCAAGAGCCTCTATCTCGATAGCACTTGACTTAATCAAGTGACCCTTTGGGATAAAACTGCCCCTGGGCACTGAAGAAAATATAACTAAAATGGCAGCACAAGAACCAGCCTTTTTGGCTGGTTTGGAGGTCGGGGTGTGGGGAGAGCCTGGGTGACTGAAATTCAGAGACAGTCCCAAAATTCCACTTAAATGGTTTCCAGCGTCCCTCTTCCTGTCCACATGGCCCTTCCTTACCTTCAGCACCCTGCTAATGAATGGTGAGGCTTTCCAATTTTAATAGGAACTGCTACCATTTACTGAGTGCTTATTGTGGGCCAGGCTCTGTGCTGGACCCTTTTGGGAAGACTGTTGCCCAGGAGTCCTGCTATAAAATACTTGTTTTAATCAAAGATCACAGGAGCAGAGAAGTTTGTAGGCCAGCGGTTCTCAACCTGTGGGTCGTGACCCCTTTGGCGGTCGAACGACCCTTTCACAGGGGTCACCTAAGACCATCCTGCATATCAGATATTTACATTACGATTCATAACAGTAGCAACATTACAGTTATGAAGTAGCAACGAAAATAATTTTATGGTTGGGTCACAACATGAGGAACTGTATTTAAAGGGCCAGAAGGTTGAGAACCACTGCTCTATAGGCTGCTAGGGCTGCTGCTGGTCAAGGAACGGAAGCCTCTGAGCCAGGTCCCAGTCTCTACACTGGGCTGTCAGTTCTTCCTCCATATAGCTTATGTGTCCCTCTGCCACTTCCCCCCTGCCTTAGAGTAAGGCCCTGACTCCTGAGTAAGACATACTTGGCCCCTGCCTACATTTCTAGCTCCACCCCTTACACCACACCAGTCCTGCAGACAGGACAACCTTGATGGAGTCCTGCTGCTTCTTGCCTTTGCACATGCTGATGCTTTTACTGGAAGGCCGTTCTTTACCTGGCTGACTCTTACTCATGCCTCTGTGTGTCTGGGTGCCACCTACTTTGGAAAGCCTTCCCTGGCCAACTCAGGCTGGTACCCATTGTGCCACTTTCTCATCCTATATAATAAAACCCTAATATGCAAATCAACCAAATGGCAAAATGACCAGTCGCTATGACACGCACTGACCACCGGGGTGCAGGCACTCAATGCAGGAGCTGCCCCCTGGTGGTCAGTGCGCAGAAGCCAGGCTCACGGCTGGTGAGCAGCTACTGTGGCAGAAGCCACTCCTGCCTTCGCAGCAGTGCTAGGGACCCCTTGGGGGATGTCCGCCCCCAGCAGGTGGACATTTGCTGAGGGGTCCCGGACTGCGAGAAGGCGCAGGCTGGGCTGAGGGACCCCCGCAACCAGTGAACAAAAGTCGTGCACCAGGCCTTTAGTTTATTATAACAGAATTGCAATAGTGAGTTTACTTTGTGTCTCCCTAAATTGGGGATTGACTAGAGGGGAGGAGTTGTCCTCTTCCTCACAAAACCTGGTAGGTCATTCCAAGCCTCTTGTACTGACAAAATTAAAAAAGGTGTGTGTGGAGTAGAGGGGTGGGGGGAAGGTCCTGCTCCTTTCTGAGCAAGACACACATAACCTAGGAGCCATAAAAGCAAAGACTGATAAATTTGACTACAGAAAAATAATTCTGCCTAGCAATTGCCCAAAGGCAAGGTCAAAAGACAAACAACAAATGGGAAATTATCTGTAGCTCACAGAACAGAGATCTAATTCCCCTAATACATAAAGAGCTCCTGTACATTGATTAGAAAAGGACCAGGAACACAAAAGAAAAGTGAGCAGGTGATAAAAACAGAGTACACACAGACACACACACACACACACACACACACCTTTAAACATAAAAAGCTACTTAACTACATTGATGAGGAAAGTGGTGCAAATCAAACTCTACTGAAATAAAAGTTTTCACCTACTAGATAGTGAAAGTGTTGCTCTTTGGAGAGCAATCTAAAAATATCTTTCAAAATCACATATATACCTTACCCAGCAATTCTAAGGCTTTGTCCCATAGAAGCACTCACATATATGACATTATGTCTCAACCAGGCTGTTCACTGCAGCATTGTTGATGGTAGTAAAAGGCTGGAAACACCCTCACCATAAAACAGCTGGAGATTGCTTAAATAAATTAGGGTCATTCCTACAGTGCAGTGGTTCTCAACCTTGGCTGCACATTAGAATCACCTGGGAATCTTTTTAAAATCCTGATTTCTGGGCCTCATCCTCCGGAAATTCTGTTTCTTTGTTACTAATGTTGTGACCCCACCCCATAACAAAGAAACAGAATTTCCAGAGGATGAGGCCCAGAAATCAGGATTTTAAAAAGATTCCCAGGTGATTCTAATGTGCAGCCAAGGTTGAGAACCATTGCTGCAGTGGAACTCTACAAGGCAAAGTGTGGGGAAGCTACCCAGGTGCTAGTATTGGACAATGTCTGAGATATATTGCTTAAAAGAAAATGTTAGATACAGAACAATGTATTGCATGCTAGCTGTGTATAAAAAAGTGAGGGAGAAAAGGAGAATATGTTCATCTTGGCTTATGTATACATCAAATACCTATTGAAAAATAAACAAGAAATGAGCCATTGTTTGCCATTCAGCAAGGGAATTGGGTGGTTGAAAAACAGGTGAGAGGCTTACTTCAAGTTTTGAGCCAGCTGAATAAATTATCTACCACAAAAGCATTTATTTTTTTAAAATATATTTTATTGATTTTTTACAGAGAGGAAGGGAGAGAGATAGAGAGTTAGAAACATCGATGAGAGAGAGACATCGATCAGCTGCCTCCTGCACATCTCCTACTGGGGATGTGCCCGCAACCCAGGTACATGCCCTTGACCGGAATCGAACCTGGGACCTTTCAGTCCGCAGGCCGACGCTCTATCCACTGAGCCAAACCGGTTTTGGCCACAAAAGCATTTAAATAAATGCATTTAATAAAGTATTCCTGCCCGTTTGGCTCAGTGGCTAGAGCATCAGCCCACAGACTGAAGGGTCCTGGATTCAATTCCGGTGAAGAACACGTACCTTGGATATAGGCTCGATCCCCAGCTGTGGTCAGGAGCCCATGGGAGGCAACCAATCAATGTGTCTCTCTCACATCAATGTTTCCTCTCTCTTTCCCTCTCTCTCTCTCTCTCTCCCTCCCTTCCACTCTCTCTAAAAAAATCAATGGAAAGGTGAGGATTAACCAAAAAAAAAAAAGAAATGTTCCTGCTCTGCCGGTGTGGCTCCGTGGTTGAGTGTCGACCTATGAACCAGGAGGTCATGATTTGATTCCAGGACAGGACACATACCCGGGTTACAGGCTCAATCCCCAGTAGGGGGCATGCAGGAGGCAGCTGATCAATTATTCTCTCTCATCATTGATTGAATCTCTCTTCCTCCCCCTTTCTCTCTGAAATCAATATATAGATATTACCCTAATATGCAATTAGACTGAATGGCAGACCAACCGAACAACCAGTCGCTATGACGTGCGCTGACCACCAGGGGACGCATGCGGAACATGGTGGGCGTCGGCAGCAGGCGGCAGAGTGTGGAACATGGTGGGCATAGGCCATGGTGGGATGGTGGGGGAGGTGAGTGGGGGCGCCAGACCAAGGCGGGGCACCAGTCGCTGTCATCTGGGCAAGCCTCTCGTGGTTACTGAAAATTCTTTGCTCCCGTGCACCGCAGTCCCGCC